GGTCAGTGAGTCAGACTCCCTGCTGACTGCCTCACAACTCTAGCTCAGTGACTCCTCAGATAGTCGATTGAGGTAGGTGCTGTCATTACCCCCATCTTACAGATGAAGAGACGGACAGAGGTCAAGTAAATTGGCCCAAAGTCATACAACTGAATTGCTGAGCCAGGACTCAGAATAAAGCCGTCAGGCCCACCCCATGCTGTCTTGCCTGTTGTGTGTGTCTATTGTCCTGTTCTTACACTGTCTGGCCTGAAAGTTGGCCCTTTTCTGAGGAAACGTATGAAAAAGTCTTTATATGTGAGGTCTTTTAAGTGGTATCTGGGCAAGAATTAGGAGAGAAATCGATTTGTAAGAGGCAGTTTTCTGTTTGGGTTTAGATCTCAAGTCACATCTTCAGCTCATCCACCCTGTCTTCCCCCAAATCAAGGCCCGTCAGCCCCTCCTATGCTCAGAAGTGGATTTCCAACTTGTTCTTTACTGTTATGGGAAAGCAGAGAATACCCAGAGCAGAAGGCAACACTCAGAATTCCCATTACTGACAAAATTTGGCATAGGCAGGATTATTCTTAAGGAAAAATGGGAAGGTCGTTCCAGATAGATAGGAAGATAAGGAGATCATGTCTTCATAAGGGGGCTTTGTTCTACCACAAACCCAGAATAAAGTGATAGTATGAGAGATTTGGTATGTGTGTACTTTGTTATCGTAAATTAGCATTTCACTTGAATTTATAGAAACCACAAGTTAAGTGATTCAGAATCCAGATGAATCTACAAATCTACAAAAATCTATATTTATAGTATAAACTATGGCCTTTTATAATTGGTCGATAATTTATAGTTTGTAAGAGGAAGAAAGGTTCAAAGCACATAAGCTTTAGAACCTTGGGCTTTATGTTCTCTTCCTACTCCCTATCTTCGTGATCTTGTGCAGGTCACTTCAAGATCCCAATGTGGAAAATGTGGATGATGACATCGTCTCCCAGGGTTGCTCTAAGGAGTCAGTGAGGTAACACACAGAGCGTGCTTGACACTTGATGACCATGTGGTAGAGATGAACGTCATCGTCCTACTAGGATTCAAGGAGAAAGTCCTCAAAACCACTTTCAGGAAGGAAACTGTTTTTAATAGAAGTATCTCAAAGTCCTTAAAAAAAAAAAAAGGGTAGAAATGTCAAAATAGTGACATTTATGGCTGTGAGAGTAGGGTAGGGAGTTGTGGTTAAGGATAAGGGACCTTTCCTGGTGTTCGCTGACTCCCCTGGCTTCCCTGATCCACGTTTCCTAAGCAACTGCAAAGACTAGAAGGAAAAAATGTGCAAAGGAAACCAGCCTGAAATCCTCTCTGATGCCCAGGCCTTGGTTCTCAATGATCAGAACAGAGGGGGCATGTGGACAGCCCAGCTGTTGGGTAGGCTGACAGCTGGAGAAGTCCAATGCCAGGCACTATTCTCAGAGTGCCCATGCCAGGGCACAGGGTGACTTAAGATGAATGTCAGTCTGCAAGAACAAATTCTATCTGGTTTTGATTAAGTTATTACATGTGA